CCCCCCCCCCCCCCCCCCAAAGGTGTCATCACAATCAATACCTCACAATTCAGACGTTTCTTCTCTGAAGTGTAAGTTTTCCTGAGAAAGTTCTAGACTAAACTACACTGTGGGTGCTTGACCGAAAACATTTTTTCTCTCTCTCATCTAAGATAAGGCTTGGGAAATCTCATGCTGTTGCGTGTTACGGCTGTAATCAGTAGCTATGTGGGAAACGAGAGAACAGTGAAAAAAAAAAAACACATAAATTAGGTGATGCACGTTTAATGAAAAACGCATTTGCCAAACTCTTAGTTTTATGTTCAGTTTAATTTACTGCCTCATAATCACATCAAGAATGTTACTGTAAAATTATGCCTCTATTTCAAGTTGTGTTGAAAATTCCTCGGAACACACCAACTACAACACTCTAAAAAATGCTGGGTTGTTTCAACCCAACTTTGGGTCAAATATGGACTAACCCAACTTTTGGGTTAAAACTTGAATGTAAAAATTTAACCCAACGGTTGGGTTAGTCCATATTTGACCCAAAGTTGGATTGAAACAACCCAGCATTTTTTAGAGTGTATACTACCTATTCAGGCACAGTGAGTATAGCTCGAGTCACTGATGTGATTCTACACTGAAAAAAGGATTTACTTTGAAACAATTTTCACTCCGAAATTGCTAGTAAATTTTACAAATTATTACAAAGAAAAAACAAGTAACAAATTAAATCATTATTCACAACTGTTAATACACTAATTCAGGGCCGCTGCTGGCCAAATGGTTGCCCTAAGCAGAATTGTATTGTTGTGCCCCCTCCCCAAAATATTATGGAAGTAAAAAAAACACACCTACTACACTCTAAAAAATGCTGGGTTAAAAAGGGACAAACCAAGCAGTTGAGTTGTTTTGACCCAGCGGTTGGGTTGTTTTGAACCAAACCGCTGGGTCAAAACAACCCAATAGCTGGGTTTGTCCCTTTTTAACCCAGCATTTTTTAGAGTGTATAGGGGTCAAAATAGAACTTTAATAAAATATAAAAGTAAATAACTAAATTGTAATTAAATTGTATTATTTACAAATTACAATTAGCTAGACAGTCACCTATGGCTATGATTTTATTAATACAGTTGTCTGATTGATTTTATAGTCTCAAGCATTCACAAATGACACAAAAGAAAATTAAGCAGGGGAAAATACAGGGGAGTTTTGTTTTTTTGTTTTTTTATCAATCAATCAATAAGTAAGTAGCCTAAGTAGGCAAAAATCTAAACCAAAAATCATAGGATCACATTGAGTTAGATTTTAATTACTTTTAAATACAAAAATAAATAAAAGTAATTAAAATCTAACTCAAATGTGATCCTATGATTTTTGGTTTTAAAATGAAAAAATAATTTGACAAATGTATCTTTTTACTTTTATATAACCTTTGTTATTTTCTACTGAGCTGTCTGAAGTCAAGCAGACTTGGCTAATAGCTACTGACATTTGTTGAGCTCATATATTAATGTAAAACGTTGGAATTTTTGGCTAAAACCAGGTATTTTCCGTCTCGCCCGGAGGTGTGGCTTTTCTTATGGGCGTCTCTTAAAAGCAAATTATATATAAACCTCACGCTGAAGTTAGAGAAGTCACTTTTGAGAAGCAGAGACACAGAGCAACTAACGCGTACTGGAACTGACCTGAACTAGCAATGTACACCAGATCAGACAGCCTGGCCTTCTCGCTACCGACAAACACTTTCTTCCAGCTGCAGTCGCAGTTTGATTTCAGACCGATGATGCCGCGCAACACCGAGCCGGAGATCTTCACCTTCGAGCGGATCCCGGAGCCGCAGCAGCCGGCGTTCCCTCCCC